TATATGTCCAAATGAGTTTATTTTACCAACTTCCAGCAAACTCTGAACACCTCAGGGGCCACGATAAGTGAAATTACTAAATAAAGCAGCCAGCTGACTGAGGTGTAACCACGCTGGAATATAACTGCAAAGAAAACAATGTGATGATGTGGATGGTGTGACGCAGTTATCACAGCAGAGTCAGGCCACAGTGCGTAGATCCACATGTTTGAGTTGGCAGCACGAAACAGAAGTTCTGTTTCATAATAAGTCACAGACAAGAGAGTCTCCACCTGCTGGGACAGGTGGAGGACTGAAGGATATCCCTTTAGTCTGTCTGTGCCTAGACTAGCGCCATCTTTAGAGTATAACTATTTTCATTACAGTGTGTAAAAGGCTGTTTATGGCTATGATTCAGACGTCACTGAATAGCGAGCTAGCGTAGGTTACCAACCATAACACCCACATAACCTCAGCTTTCTTTCTTCCTCTAGTTTTTTCTTTTTCAGCCCCAGTGGGAAAAATCTTGATCTGACCTGTCTGTGTGTATGAACATGACTTCTCTGTCACGGGCAGCAGACATGATGAAAGTGATAAGTTTATTAAAATATTTGCCTAAACCCGCATGTTTATGTTTACCTGCCTGTTTTTGAGGATTGTTGGCAGACCGCTGCTGGTGTGGGGAAATCATGGTGCACAAGTGGACCCAATTGCAGTAATGTAAATTGCACGAGTCTGCATATGGACCTGCTTACAATGTAAATCTGAACCTGACAAACACCAGGAGGGAGGTTCGAGCGGGTGGAGCTTTTGCTCGAGCTATTAATTGATTAAGCAGCACACAGTTCATCATTTGCTCTGTGGCACTCGTGGCTCAAGAGTTGGGAGTTCGCCTTGTAATCGGAAGGTTGCCGGTTCGAGCCCTGGCTTGGACCCTCTTGGTCGTTGTGTCTTTGGGCAAGACTCTTCACACTGGTGGTGGTCAGAGGCCCCAGTGGTGCCAGTGTCCGGCAGCCTCGTGGCTACAATGTAGCTGCCATCACCAGTGTGTGAATGTGTGTGTGGATGACTGGATGTGTAAAGCGTTTTGGGGTCCTTAGGGACTAGTAAAGCGCTATACAAATACAGGCCATTTATTAACATGTTTTATGAACATTATCAGTTCACAGATTTAAGCTGCAGTGTGTCTTTTACACCCAGTTTAACAAGTCAAGCTCTGGTGTTTTGGTCTGGAGCCTGTGGGAGTTTTTCACCCCTGAGCTCATCCTGAAGCTGTTGTTCCACCTGTGTGGCCCTCACTCTGCTGTCGAGTGAAGTGAATCTGCGCCTCTCCTTTATCTTATCTGTGTTTTGATTAAAAAGAGGCCAGTTGGCAGTCTTAAAGGTTCCCTGATATCAGCGCCTTCTCTGCGCGTACAGCTGACACGGTGAAGCTCAATGAGAGAAAGGGGATAAAGGTCTTTGCTCTCAAAGTGAACCCGCTCGTGCCTCTGCCCTCGGCTTCAACCTGCAGCGGGTGCCGCTGATGCTCGACTGCGGGCGACAATAAACCAATTGCAGCTTATCTGACACCTCTGAGTCCAGGTGAACGTGGGAACACTTTGTTCCATCAGAGCAGGAAGATAAAGAAACACCCTGAACATCTTTCAGATTAAATCTGACCGCAGCACACAGGCAAAACCACATCTATGGCTTTAAAACCTGCATATCTTACATTGGGAAACACAGGGGCTTTATTTTCTTCATGTTACAGTGCATAGGTGAGTTGGAGGGCGCCTAAAAATGTGCACTATATCTCCTGTGAGCCTGTTTGGAGCTGGTCACAGCTTTCCTGTCATTTTTACTGCAAGATCTTCCGACTTTCTTGTGACTTCCTGTTTTCATTTCCTGTCTGCAGGTCATTTTCCAAACAAGGCGATGCCATCAGCCGGCACGCTGCCCTGGCTTCAGGGAATCCTCTGCAACGCCAACAACCCCTGCTTCAGACATCCGACACCGGGCGAGTCCCCGGGCATCGTCGGCAACTTCAACGACTCAATGTGAGTGGCCAAAAAAGAGGCTTTTATTCTGAAAAACTTCTCATCTTTATTAAACTGCTAAAGCGTGCTTGTGGTTTCATCTTTTACTAATCAGCAGACATTTTTAAGTAAAATGAATTTTATTCTGATAGTACCTCACATTCTTTCATTTCATTTTCATTACATTTACATATAGAGTGAAATCTCAGCTCAGTTCTTACATAAATGCCGTCTGTAGAGCTGAAACAGGCTGTCAGTGACTTTATTTCTGAAACTTTATTGATACACTTTAACTTTCCTCCTCTCACACATTAACAGACAAAACTGAATTTTAAGATTTCAGCTGCTTTTACCTCTAACCAACACCGGCAGGTCATCTGCTCTCAGTGTTTGTGTATAAGCTGACGCTTCAGCTGTTTTCATGGCCTTAACCCAAAATCAGTAAGGATTCATCATGACTGATTACATCACACACATCAGCCGATTTTGTGGTCGCTTTTTTCGCTATTAGTTTACACTCGGGAGCTGCTCGTTAAGCGGTACTGGAACAGTGACCTTCAAAGTAAAAGCTGCGGCCTTTTGAAATGTGTTGGTTTCAGCAATAAGGAGTCGCTTTTACTATGAAGGCGAACATAGTTTTTTTTTTTGGTTTGTGTCGTATGTGTTTGACTTTCACCACCACTCTGTGGTTAGTGGGCGAGCGTTTGCAGACTAACCGGCATCTTTCATCCAACCTGTGGGAATCTGCTGGTGACCAGATCGATCATAAAGAGGTTTTGGGTGCAACATCTTCTTTGTGAGCCAATATCACCCAGAGGTCGCTGGAGGTTCGCTGGTCTCTAGGCCTGTGTGACTGAGGCCCCAAAGCTTTAATCTTATTGGTTGCTTATCAAATTCCTGCTACGTTTTCATTCTCCTAAGGAGCCAGAAGCTCAATAACTCTCAGATGTTGTGACACATAAACATCAACTACTTTTAAGACTTAAAGCTACGATATAAATTACTTATCTGAGCTTTTTCACTTTAATACTTCATGTTCCTTTACTTGTTTTAAAGTGACACTTAAACTTCCTGTAGAGTTTAATTTTGAACCTTTTTCCACTGTTTCACTTCACATATTTTAAATAGCACCATCTGCTGACACCTTCCTCCCTTTTCTGTCTGCAGACAGTCAGTGTAAGAAGGTTAGCTTTTGAACCTGTGGACTGAAGTAGTATCCTTACATATCTACTACTTTTATCTAGAACCTACCTTTGGCTGATCCCTTATTCAGAAGGTGGTCACTTCAGCTGCAGATTGGATCTGTGATCAAACCGAGGGATCTTTTGCTTGTTAGGCGAATGTAAACCTTAAACTCTGGAGTTTAGTTAGTCACTGCTTCCATAATAACTAACACTTTAACTGTTTTGAGTGTCAACAGAAATGTCATTTTAACCTGTTTGTTGTTTTCACTGTAAGCTGGCATGTGCCGGGTCTTTCCCTCTGTGTTTGTATGCATGCTAAGAGCTTCTTTGTGGCTCACGTTTGATGTTTTACTTTTATTTTGCAGAATTTCTCGCCTTTTCTCGGACGCCAAGAAGATCCTCCTGTACAGTCAGAATGATAAAAACCTTGAGGGCTTCAAGGAGCTGGCTCAAGCCCTGCAGGTGCTGCAGTCCAGCCGCTCAGGTAGGACACGCAAAACGCAACCCTCACTGTGTGGGGATGAGCTCAGATCAGGGTTAGCGATGCAGTTTGACTTTGTTTGATTTCGCTAATCTGAGCATCAGTGTGGGTTGGAGTGATAACAGACATATCAGCCGTAATCACGTCATCACAAATAAGAAATACACAGTGTAGATAAAAACTCAAAGCGTTTAAATGGCTAAAGTTCCAGCTACGAGGTGTATTTATAGACATGTTCTTGTTTTAATCTTAACAACCTGCACATGGCAACAAAGATTTAAAAAAGGACTTTGCCAGCTTTTGGATAAGAAAAGTAAAATCTTACTGTATCAACATGACCATAGTAATAATATTCATTATTATCATTTTTAAACTGTATAACAGAACAATTGCAGAATTTAAAAGAAGTAGAACATTTTCTTTTAACAGCCAGCCGGTGCCTAAATGTGAAGGTTTTATCGCCATTCCTTTAACAGAGGAACCTAAAGGCCAAAATGCATGCACTTATTTTGAAAGGTAATGTTGTAAAAACACAGCAGAACCCTAAAACTGGTCACCTGGGCCCTGATTGGTGTTAAGAAGTTAAACTTACTGAGACTTCAGGCCAGATGAGAGCCTCGGAAACCAGCCACATAACACCCATCTTCCATATTTCTGTGAGAACAGTTCCTCGTGCAAAACAAGGAAGCTGGAGGCAAAGGTTCTCACATTTCTTGTGCTGATTTTATGGCAGCTATAGGACTTGGTCTTTTCAGACTTTTGAGACGCACCTGATGAATTCCTTAACCCCAGGTTACCATGTTAGAGGAGAAGATGGACTGAAGTTATCACCTAATGCTGGCTACATTGGTTAGCAAGCTTCATCTATAGACTGGACAGTAGGACACAAACAGTTAACAGACAACTTGGACGCCGTATTCATACAATTAAGCTAACAGCAGCCATAATATTGGTCGGATAATCGTATAAAAATTAAAAAACTGCTGGAGCCTCGAGTGGACGTTAGAGGAACTGCAGCTTCTGAAACTGGAGCCTTAGCTTTTATTTTTTAGCCCCAGAGGTTAATGTTTGGAGAGAATGCCTTGACTAACCCTACAGTGTAATTCATAAACCTGTGAGTCATGACTGTCGGCAGGCTCTTTTTTTTGAATGCCACCTTCGTCAATAAATCATCTCTGAGATCAGCTCGCTGAAGGAACCTAACAGCTAGCGAGTCTTTGCAGAACCTCTCAAAGGTCAGCAGGTTTTTAGGCGTCCTTTCTCTGCGGCAGGAGTTTTCAGGCTCGCTGAACAAAAAGAATTTCTCTCTTTTGTGCGTTAATTTGCAGCTTTGGCTCTCTGTGGGGGGCGTTTGTTTTCCCTACCTGCACCGACCTGCCGGCTCTCTTGCTTCTCCTCCCTGTTGATTGAGCATCAGCACGTTTCTGCTCTTTATTCCCTCTAATCTGATAATAAATGAAGCAGTTTTATTGGTCAGGAGGGCGATGGTGTGATGAGGGGGCGGCATGACACGCTGCAGCAGGTTTACCTGCTTACCTTCCAGGTGAGCTCACCTGGTTAGAGGGCAGCAACCAGGATTCAGCAGTTCTCAGGAAACTTCATAGCCCGAGGCCTTAGAAACAGATCTGCGAAAATGCAAATGTTTCTCTGCAGGAAAGCGACCTTTAACGGTTTGTTCAGCACCAATAAAACAGATTTTCATCTGACAGACAATTTTCATGTCAGTTTTAAATCTAAAGCAAGCATAGAAAGCTAATCAGCTAATTCTCAAGCTTCAAATGAGCCAAGACCTCCAACGTTCACATCAAGGCGTTAAGGCTAAAGACCGCACAACGAAACACACTGAAAGTTTTTCCTTTGTTTGTTTCTTTCTGGTGGTTTTTATAGTTTGTTTTATCACTTTGTGTTGTTTTTGTTTGTCTGTGTTTGTGTCCTGGTTTTTGTCTCTTCATGGTTAATTCGTTGTCTTTTTGTCTGTTTTTGTCTCTTTTGTAGTTGCTTTTTGTCTCTGTATGATATTTTGTTTCTTTGTATCCAGTTTTTGCCTCTTACTGTTTGATTTCTTCCTCTTTGTTTTTTTGTCTTTGTTTTTGTGGTGTTTTTATTTGTCTGTGGTTGTTTTTTGCCTCGTTATGCTGGGTTTGTTGTTTTGTTTTGTTGTTTTTGGTCTTATGTTTTGGTTTGGTTTGTTTTGTATGACATGGGGTTTTTTTGGGTTTTTTTTGTCATTTTGTGTCCTGTCTTTGTCTCGTGTTGGTTTTCTTCTCTTTGTATTTGATTTTTGGCTGTTTATGTTGTTTTTGGCTCTCTGTAGTTGGTTTTTGTCTCTGTTTTGTTTTTATGGTTTTGTGTCTTATTGGTTTTTGTTTCTTTTTATCTTGTTTTTGCCTCTTCATGTTTGTGATTTGTGTCTGTTCGTGTTATTTTTTTTCTATGGTTCCATGGGTTATTTATTTGCCACTTTGTGTCCTTTTTTTATTTTTATGTGATTGTTTTTGTTTCTTTGTATTCAGTTATTGCATCTTTCTATTCAATTGTTCCCTCTTCGTGTTTGATTTTTTCCACTTTTGTGTTGTTTTCTCTCTGTTGTGGATTTTGTCTTTCGGTTGTCATCTGATCGCGAGCGGTCACTCCACACGCAGTTTTCTGATATTAACACAACTCTCTTCTGACTCTGCTGAGGGGGGTAGAAGGGTGGCAGCAGGAGCCGATTCTGATTGGCTGGCCCTGTGGCCCCTCCCCTGCAGGTGGACTGACAGGGTCAGTGTGCATCGTGCATGTTCGCGACGCCCTGTCGTGTTGGGTTTTCTGCTGCTCGGCTCGGCGCCGTCCCGCAGAGCGTCACTGAGTTCAGATGTGTCCCTGCAGCTGTACAAACGTGTAATTCAGAGTGTCCTAATGGGGGTCTACATCAGACCTGAACCTGGATTGGGTCGCTGCAAGCATCTCACATAACCATTACTGTACAGTTTAGCAGCTGACTGTTAGTTCCTCTGTGGATTAAAACCATCCGGCAAGCTTGAAGTCATGAAAGTGGAGGACTCTTTGAACATCTTTAGTTTCTGAAACACTATCAAAAAGTTCAAACATGATGAGCGGCAGACAAGAACCAGTTTTTTAATGTGGTACCGGAACGCGGTGGTGTGGTGGTTTAATGATGGCGAGTTGTGATTGAAGCAGACGGGCTTCTCTGCTGGAAACTGCTTCTCATTTGACCAATCACATCACTGCGAGCTGCTGATGTCAGACAGCTGGACCTGTCCTCTGACCCATCACTAACACTAACTGTAGTAACACTCAGTCGGCTTTTTGTCCCCAAAGGGCCTCTATACCTCCGCTCATCTGAGCGCAGATGAACACCACATGATTGTCGCCTTCGAGCTGAAACAGGAAAATTAATCATCGATTGATTTATTAGAGACAGATCAGAGAACATATGATACTTCCTCGGAAAAGACTCGCTTTTACGGCAGTCCTGCCTGAACTTGATCTGTTCAGGGTTCCTCCTGCTCGAGCAGGAAGTGAAGCGAGTAGCTGATCTGGGCTGGCACTGAAATCAGATTGAGGCTGAGGAGTGACGGCTTCTGATTTTAAATAATTTCTTTCACAACAAAATCACAGAAATCATAAATATGATCTCTGTATTTTAGCTGAACATGCTGAAGTCTGCAAACATGGAATGAAAAGTGGAAAATTTAAACAGATAAATGGTAGATCGTCCAGGCTTACAGAAGCTTGTAAACCATAAAGTTGTGCTACGTGAGATAAGCGCAAAGACAAAGTGCATTTAGTGAAAACAATAAGCTGTCACACAAAACTGGACTAAAAGAAAACGTAAAGAAAATTGTGTGGGCTGTCACAACCCAGCGTACTCCTAGTGTCAGTCCCAAGCCCAGATAAGTGGGAGGTTTGCGTCAGGAAGGGCATCAGGCGTAAAATCTGTGGGAAAGCAGATGTGCAGATCCATCCATGGCGACCTCTGGGGAAAATAAGGAAGCAGCCGGAAGCACCTGTACTGTCCGGTCCAAATATGGTCGTTTGTGACAAACCTGTAATAAAATATGAATATAAAAAACCAACATGGCACGAGCCAAGTTACTAATGTTAAGTCACTTTGAGTGAGCTAAGGTAACAATTGTGTGACAGCACAATGGCTTTGTCCATGTTTTATAAAGTCTGTGAATAGAAGGGTACAAATATTAATTGGATGTATGAAAATACAGATCACATCTTGGAAAATAAGAAGTGAAACAGGAAAATGCAGCAGAAGAGGGATAAAAAGATATGCCTCAGTTTGATGCTCTCCTGCTGATAAACAGAGTGATGAAGGAGCCGATTAATAACGGTGACGTCGTTCTAAGCTGGAGGATAAAAGCTTCTGAGGAAGCTCGACGATGCTTTTATTGAATTTTAGGGTTTCTGATGGAAGCTGGCTGATGGATCAGCAGCCGCATTTTACCAGTTAGAGCGTTTCTTCATGGATGTCCATAAAGCTGCAAATAAAACCAATCGATCGATACATTTCTGTGGTTTGCTGATGTTCAGCAGGCTGGAGGCAGGAGGACAGCAACGACTGTAATCTTGGATGATCCGTCATCTTAAATCTCCACGTTTTGAAAGAGTGAAGCAACACAGGCAGAGAAGCTTCACACGTTAGCTTCCTGTTTGTTTCAAATGAATGACAAGAGAAGCTCCTCTCAGCCTTCGTTGCAGCTGCCTGTTCAAACCTGCAGAAGAAGAAGAAAGGCGCAGGGAGGGGTGGGCATGTATGCGTGCGGGGGCATCATGCAAAAGTGCATCCAGCTGCTGTGATGGAGCTGAGTGGAAAGTTTGAGCTGCAGGCGTGTGTGAGCACGCAGGTCGAACGAAGAGCAGCGATGACGTAACAAAGACTGAACGTAAAGCCCTCTTGCAGCCGCTCGGGTGCGGACGTGCCCCCGACAAGCCCAAATATGGTCCGAACGCCTCCTCAGGCCGCAGTTATAGCATCTGTACCTTCACTAAAATGATTTCTATCTGACTTTCAGATTCAAACTGACATCAGATTAAAATAGAAAATCCAACCACAGTAAACGGACCATTAACAATCACTCCAACCGTCCAAATCCAAACACATAAAACCTCTCAATCGTCTGGGATTATTGGTAGTTCAAATATCCGTCAAAGGTTTTTATTGCTGTAGCAGTCGGCTCTGTTACCAACAGTCACACCTGTTTGTTTGTTTGTTTGTTTGTTTTTATTTATTTTAATCTCAGATCTGTGTTTTTGTGCAATTGAATTTTTCTCATCGCAGTTTTTTGGGGTGTTTGAGGAATTTTGTTTTTCAGGGATTCCTCACAGTTTACTTACCAGTGTCATAAGAACATAGAGGAATGTCTCTGTTTAATGGCCTGACTGTTACCTGTTAGTCTTTCTCCTGCACCAATCACGAGTCAGTGGTGTGTCACCTGAGAGGCCTAAAAGCTTGAATGAAACCAATGTTTTATCAGCCTGTCTCGTTCTCAGCTTGGACGGATTTTAGTCAAACCGAAAGCAGAGATGACATTTTAAAAATGTGCTGGGGGAACTGCTTCACCCTCTCCTCTGTAAAAAATTACACAATTGCTTTGTGGCCACAAATACGTTCACATTTAAAAGACAAAACCCTCTGATTTACTGGAGGAGGAGAAGGAGGAGTCAGGTTTCTCTGACCTGCTCTGTTTTGTCTGTTTTTGTTTTTTCTCCCACAGGCTTCAAGTTGAAGCATTTCCTGCGAGACAATGAGACTCTGTCGAGTTTTCTGTTGAGGAACGCCTCCTTCCCCGAACACAGCGTCCAGCAGATCACGGAGGCCGACGTAAACCTGCAGAAGGTGAGGAGGCATTCTGCACATGCTCAGTCTGACCCCTGTGAGCCCTACATGGATACGGGCAGCTGGAGGAATTTTACTCCAACTTTCATTCATGAGAAAACTAACAGTGTGGAGTAAAACCATCCACAATATACAAGATAAAAAGTTGACAGATATCAGATGAAAGTCTGAAAATATAGGTAAAATTTAAAAAATATATAAAATGCAAAGAAACACAACACAGTATGGAGTAAAAGAAGAAGAAGAAAGTGTCAGACTAAATAAAATAAAAAAATAAAAAAATATGCAATAAAAGCTGGAATATTGTGAACCGGTGTACAGAACACAAGAAAGAAAAATGCAAATATGAATTAAGTGGAGAGGTGGAATAACAATAAGGAGGAAAAGTTCGTGAATGATTAAACACTTGAAATAGAATTTGCTAACTTGCAGAAAATCTGCAGAGTATATGGAATAAAAGACTGAAATGTTGGAGTACATGTTACACAGTAAAACATGAAATAAATACAATGATTGAAACTAATTTCAGAATATTAAAGTCAGACTATATGAAGCGAAACCTGAAGATAAAGAAATCCCTCTTTGGCCTCTGTTTCTGTCTCAGGTCCTCCTCGGGGGGTTCGCGGTCCACCTGAGGGACATGTGTCCCAGGAAGGGGGGCAAGCAGAGCCTGGAGGAATTTGTGACGATCTCGGACAAACAGGTGTCGGCGATGGTTCAAGAAAAGATCTGCCAGGCTCCGCCCGCCTGGCTCAACCACGCCGAGGAGCACTTTCTGGACAACTTGGACTTCCTCAAACCCATCCGGGTAAATACGGCCCTGCTAATCCACTGATATGATTCATGTTTTGCTCATTTAAAGCAGGTTTTTCATCCAGAAACTTTTAGAAACTTTTTCTCCCAGTGTGAAACCACCTCCTGCAGCGTTTCAGCTTATCCTGTATGAACACATTTCAAATCGTGACTTGTCTTCTTTTCTGTTAAATACTTTCTCAGATATAATGATCCTTATAGATGTCAAACACTTGAACTGGCACACTGAGCACTTTTTAGCCCCGAGTTCTGCCTGCAGGTGTGTCTTTCAGGCTGCCTCTAACATACTTTAAATAACAAACTTGTCTGAAAACGTGAATTTTACACTGGAATAGTCCAAAGGCATTTTTTCCTCCCCCCCTCCGTTCAGGTGACACAGCAAAGGTGTGCTGGCGTGTCCTCAGCATATTAAATGTGTGTGTGTGGGAGGAGGCGTGCCTCGGCCTGTCCCAGCTCTTTACAGTCTCAGTTTTCGTAGCCCGGAGACCAGTTTTAAAGAGTTTGAAGGATTCAATGCAGCCGTATGTCACAAGAGGCCTCAGCCTCTTTTGTGTGCAGAAATCTACGAGCACTTCGAGTGACTGCAAAGCTGAAACCGTGCGAGTTTCCACAGCAGCACAGAACGAAGTCCGTGAAAATCCAGCAGCCTTGTCTCAGAGAAGTCATAGGTGTTTAGCTAGTTATCAGTTATAGGAATCTTAAACAGAGTGAACTAGACTTAAAAGCCAGATTTTAGGGGAAAATCCCCCACACATGCCCATTATTGCCGTGCATTTATCTCCAGTTATGACACAGCAACTTTTAAAACTTGATTAAAAATCAGACAAATGACAACGTTCGGAGAAAAGTGGACAACACGAAAGCAAAGAAATGTTAGATACTCAGAGACAGAGAAGTGAAATCGTCACAAATATGAGCCAAAAATAAACAACAGCGAGCAGAGTTCAGGTGATCTGCTAGAAGTGCAGAACACCTAAAGACTTCAGTTTGCTGGACGAGTGCTAAATCTGTCTGTTTACAGGGTCCAGAGAACGTTCGTATGATGACTTATGTCATCACTCAGTATCTTTCAACACTGCTGGGAAGGTCTCTGTCTCATCTGACTGTGAAACATGTAAAAATAAAAATAACTAAACTGAAGATAGATGAGTGGGTTATTATTTATTTCAGCCAAGGTTGAGCTGAAACTGAAAATGTCTCTTTGTGTCTTTCAGAGGGACGTCAGGGCTGACCCCGAGGCCGTCCAACAGGTCGCCAGGGCAACCGACAACCTGCTGGATAGTCTGGGTTCATTGGCAGTTGAGGTAAGTCATCAGCAGGAGCTCAGACCTTTATTAGTACGATTAATATCTCAGCAGCCGTGTTATTGGTTCACAGGTCCAGTTCAGACACTGAGGTTTAGCTTAGCATAAGCTAGCAGCTTAAACCACCTGTCAGTCAAAGAGGCCACTCCCCTTTTGTATCAGGCTCTGAAGGGGTTTATTTTTGCTTTAAATTGGCCTCTTTGGGGACTGGCTCACTGCTGGAGCCTCTGGTGGACATTAGAGGAACTGGAGCTTTAGCTTAACCTTTTATCCCTGATGGCTGATGCTTGATTCAGGCTGACGCAAAGATCATCAGTCAGTTTTTCTTTGTGTCTTTTCATCATGTGCTTTTAATGATGGTGTTTGTCTCACGAACAAAGATCTGGGCACAAAATATCACAGTCAGCTTTTTACTGGACATGCGCGTCACCCAATCGAGTCTTCCGGGCCACGTCAGCACCATCAGGGGCCACTGGGTTTACTTGGCAGCTCCGAGTGTCTCTGCGAGTCTTTGTGTCCAGATAAAAGCAGTTTCCCTGCAGCAGAGACAGACGAGTTCCCAGCTGAACAAAGACTCAAATGTCTCAGTGGGTTTTTACTTCACAGCCGCCTCAGGAGGAGAAAGCACGAGTCCGAACAAACAGCAAACACTCAGCGTCCGTCTACGTCCTGCTGAGACGCTGAAGACCGCAGATGGCTGCATGCAGCCTTTAGTGACCATGTTAGAGGTCACAGAGACACTGAGGGGGCTCTGAAAGCTGCATTGTGTGGCAGAAAGTGGTTTGCGACACATCTGCAGCTCTGCAGAGCCTCCAGCCTGGGATTACAGTGGGAATAGACTGGAAATAAAGTTTGAGTGGGAGACTGTGGTTGGCGTGAACAGTTTGATAACCAGAGTAAAGTTCAGTTAGACTTCCCCAGATTGTTGTTTTTTGCCCCGAGGTTATCACACACTTTAAAACACACAGTACACACAATCGCTCTGTGGGCTAAAGTGAAAACATGTGACAGAGTGGTTTGTTTGGTTTGTGCAGGCGCTGAGTCAGGGACAGGATGAGTGTGATCCTGTGAAAAAGGGATTTAAGATGGGCATTATTGAACTGGCAATCCAGGAAATTACAACATTTAGTTTAAAAAACCCAAACAGCTAAATAACTTTAACAATCTTATCTCCTTCGTTCTGCTTTGTTCTCATGGTCAGAGAGGAAGTGTTTTTCCCAGCACTGCATTAAAAATCATGTGATGAAGAAAGAAGAGACACTCAGCTGTGATGGGACCATTAGAACAAAACCCATTTTACATTTTCTGTCAAAAACTCCCAGTTTAAAATAACTTTATTCAAACATCTGGAGCTCCATCTGTTTGATAGCATCCCAGTCATATGAAAAACACATACAGTGTCTCCCTGTCCACAGGTAAACACGTAGTTTACACGCCCACGCTGTCAAAACTTGACCTACTTTCAAGCGTCTCAGCTGTGAGGTTTAAAGGCGATATGTACGGGATCTGATGATACGGCGACAATAAAGTAGTCCTTGTTTTACTGCCTGGTTAATATATTTATTTGTTTAATCAGTTCATAAGAGAGTGCTTTGAACAATAACTTTACAGCTTTAACATGAATGGTAAAACATGCCTGTCTGAATTTCCCAGAGCCCAAGGGACACACTATAGAAGCACTGACAACAAAGGCTGGGGACAGTAGAGAAACAATAAACATGCTGAGGACAAAAACGGGAAACAAACTTTAGAGATACTCGACACATAGTACTCAAACTTTTGCAGATAATCCGGATAAATATTGAAGAGGCGGTGGGGACAAAACTGTAGACATATTGAGGACATGTTTGGGACAATAACTACCCTTTTCCTCAGATTGGAGCTGCAGCAGTTTCACTTCTGCTGATGCCGCTGACCTAAAGTAACCTGCGGCTCTTCCTCTTTGAGGTCCCTTCCTCCTGAGGCAATAAAAATAATAACATCTGAAGCTCCCTTTACCTTTCCTCTATTGGTACTTTTTTAATGCTCATATTTAGATTCTGCCAGCAGGCACCAAAACTCCTGTGGTGTTCCGGTCAAATTAGAACCTTTTCATTTAGAAGAAACTCACGTTGTTACAGAAGAATGTGTTCTTTCTGGTTCCTATTTTGTGACACACCTGGGGAACATCTGTGAGCTTAAAAGGACCTAATTACCAAAAACAGGTGAAATAGCAGAACTGGAAAGATTTTGAGTCAAACAAGCAAAAGTTGATGCTCAAATCTGTAAATCGGTTTGGTTTATTCTCCTTTAAATGAGATATTTTTAGAGATTGAGCAGACACATAAATCATGATGTGGTTTAAGGACCGAATGATTAATCTGTGAGCAGAAAGCCAAACTGCTTAATGAGTTATCAGATATTTTGGTTACAACTGTGAGACTTTTAAAAGCTACTTCAAATTAAGCATGTGGACCTTAAACCTTGTTTTTTTTTTACATTAACTGGATCAGCTCTTTGCATCTGAACTTTTGCTTTGTTACATCACTTTTGTTATCATATGTATAAAATTAGTCTGAGCTTCAACAGGAAGCGCAGCCAGACACGAGTTTACTGTCAGCAGTTTTTAGCTAGGGGAGAGTTCAGCTTCATTCTGTGATCCATTTTTAGCATGTTCAGTTTTTAACCTTCGGCGAATGTCTATAATTCCTGAGTTCAGACTCTTTTTAAAGTTTATTTCATTTTTAATTACGCATTGTTTTCCACTTGAGCCTTAACTTTGATATTTTTCATTTATTACATGTTTATATATTTCAATTTAGAATTTTTATGTAAATCTAGCGCTGGTTCATAACAACAGAGAGAGAACCCAAACATTGGGTCAGGGAGGAGCATCTGCCTTGACCTGAGGGGTGAAGGAACAGAGAGGAGAGTGTAGATAGACAGGGCAAAACACAAGCTACAGTCAAGTGCAGACAAAATGTAACATTTTGAAGCTGCTCAGTGCATGATGGGAAGTCTCCCATCTCCTTGAGCATATAGCAGCGTAAATTAAGGGAGGGTTCAGGGTTGCATGATCCAGCTTTAGCTATTAGTCCAGTCTCCCTCGACCAGTCTGACCAGTATCTTCTGTCTTGGGTCTACAGTTGGCCAGTATGAAGAGCTGGATCGATCTGAGGAACGAGATAGTCTTCCTGACGCAGAACGCCACGTCGTCGCCCAGCACCATGTACCAGGCCGTCTCCCGGATCGTGTGCGGTCACCCTGAAGGCGGCGGCCTGCAGATCAAATCCCTCAACTGGTACGAAGACAGCAACTACAAGGCTCTGTTCGGAAACTACAACAGCAGCGAGGACGAGACGGCGTCGCTCTATGACAACTCCTCCAGTGAGTCCTCGGGGTCATCCTCGGACCTTCCAACCCCAATGAAGCTTTTGTATTCAGTAGACAAACATTCAGCTAATACAGCCCATGTCAGAGAAACTAAACTCTTGCTATATAACAGCCTCCTGTGAACAGATATATGTCCGAGTCCAAGAATAAAAACACTGAGGTGGACATGAGCTATTATGTCCACTTCAAGTACTCTAGGTGCTTTTAAAGCCAGACTCTGATACTTCTGTATTTATTTTTCTTTGTGTTATCGTGATTCCTGAAACACGCCTGCTACATGTATGTGGTAACCTCCATCACGTGTGTGTTGTAGCTCCGTACTGTAACAGCCTGGTGAAGAACATGGACTCAAACCCCATGTCCAGGATGATCTGGCAGGCCCTGAAGCCCCTGCTGTTAGGGAAGCTCCTGTACACCCCCCACACGCCCGCCACGCAGAAGATCATCCACGAGGTATGATGTCACTTCCTGTGCAAAAGCTCCAGACTGCAGCTGATTGGTCACCTTTAGCTAGTAACCCAGGGTAAAAAGACTCATGTCTGTGGTGTGTTTAGGTGAATCGGACCTTCCAGGAGCTCGGTGTGTTCAGGGAGCTGGGGGGGATGTGGGAGGAGATAAGGCCCAAAGTCTGGGACTTCATGGAGAACAGCGAGCAGATGAACGTGATCAGGGTAAGCAAGCTCCGCCCACCACCTCACGTGTTCTTCATCATCGATGTCTTTCTAACTCATCTGCTTTATTTTAGACAAAATGTTCTCATACCTTTTCTTTTTTCCTTTCTTCTTTCCTTCCTATCTTTCATTCAGACTCTGCTAAAGAACAACATCACCGCCAGAGTCTTCCGCGCTCAGCTTGCTGACACGGACTGGACCGTAGAGGACATCTCCAACTTCCTGTCCAAGCAGGCAGATAACCAGCAGCCACCAGGCAGCTACCTCACCTGGAGGGATGTGTTCAACGAGACCGATCAGGCCATCATGAGCATCTCCCACTTCATGGAGGTCAGTATCCAAGCATGCAGGGAAACTGGCTGTAGTTGGTGTGCACAGATCACATGACCGGATCTGTGTCTGTCTGTATTTTAAGTGTGTGAACCTGGACAAACTGGAGCCGGTCTCCAACGAGGAGAGAATGGTGAACGTGTCCATGAAGCTACTGGAAGACAGGAAGTTCTGGGCAGGGATTGTGTTTCTGGATGTCCCTTCCAACGCCACAGAGCTACCTCCCAAACTCAACTACAAGATCAGAATGGACATTGACAACGTGGAGCGGACCAATAAGATCAAAGACGCGTAAGGAGCCACACACACAGGCAGATAAAAGTGTCCTGTTCCTCATTCCTAAATTCCAGAATTTACTCCAGTAAAGCCAGCACAAATAGTTTCTAGGTGGGTTTGTGTACGGTCCGTGTGAGGACTCGCCTCTCAGTCAGCAACAGCCAGGACATCCCCGTAATGTAAAGCATTTAATTTCTACAGGTAAAAACTGTATCTGGCAACACTGTAGAGAAAGCACAAACAGTATGTGGGTGAAAGGTTATCTGATGCTCTGCAAACCAGAGTTTTAGGTTTGTTTTTTAAAATTAATTGGAGCAAATTTTAACACTTAACTTATAATAATTACATTTTTACAACAACAGTTTTTTTAATGTACTTTTAAGTTACAGACCTTGCAATGCAAAATAATGCATTTGAGGTCTAAATTGACAAAGTCATGGCCTTGGCTCCTTTGCTTGAGCATTACCTTTCTTTCTTGTACTGTTCCTTCTGTAGCTCTTTATCACATCCTGCTGTTTAACTAGCAGCACTTCCTGCACTCTGTCCTCCTTCTCAGATACTGGGACCCGGGTCCTCGTGCCGACCCGTTTGAGGACATGCGATACATCTGGGGTGGGTTCTCGTACCTTCAGGACGTTATTGAGCAAGGCATCATCAGAGCGGTGACGGGCACCAAGGAGAAGACGGGAGTTTACATCCAGCAGATGCCGTACCCGTGTTACGTAGATGACATGTGAGATTATTCACATCATTTCCCAGGTTTGGTCCCCTCCTCGCCGCTCTCGGTCTGTAACCCCGTCCTTCCTGTCCTCTGTCTCAGTTTCCTGCGGGTGATGAGCCGCTCCATGCCTCTCTTCATGACTCTTGCCTGGATGTACTCAGTGGCCATCATCCTGAAGAGCGTGGTGTATGAGAAGGAGGCTCGACTGAAGGAGACTATGAGGATCATGGGTCTGGATAACGGCATCCTGTGGTTCAGCTGGTTCATCAGCAGCCTGATTCCTCTGCTCATCAGCGCCGGGCTGCTAGTGTTGCTGCTCAAGGTGACGACTAAAAACCAAAATACATAGAAAACAGTGTCATTAGAAAAACAGAGCATCCACACATTCACATCTCCAAGAATGCAATATTAATAATGTCCCATCTCGTCTTCTCGTGGTTCCTGTGCAGATGGGGAACCTCCTGCCCTACAGCGACCCCGGCGTCATCTTCCTCTTCCTGGGGTCCTTCGGTGTGGTGACCATCATGCAATGCTTCCTGCTCAGCACGGCATTTGCCCGTGCCAACCTCGCCGCCGCCTGTGGAGGAATCATCTACTTCACCCTCTACCTGCCATACGTGCTCTGCGTCGCCTGGGAAGAGTACATCGGCTTCGGGACGAAAGTCTTCGCTGTAAGGCTGCGCATCTTTTTCACAATTTTAATGTTGTGATGTGATGGGGCGAGTCACATGCCCACCTCTCGCTCTGCAGAGCCTTCTGTCCCCTGTGGCGTTCGGATTCGGCTGCGAGTACTTCGCTCTGTTTGAGGAGCAGGGAGTCGGTATCCAGTGGAAGAACCTGGTGTCCAGCCCACTGGAGGAGGATGACTTCAGCCTCCGCACCGCCATCATCATCATGTACTTTGACTCCTTCCTGTACGGAGTCCTGACATGGTATCTTGAAGCCGTGTTTCCAGGTGAGAGCTTTTCTTCTTCGTGTGTTTATTGAACTGCAGTCATCATTATTTAGCATGCTACAAGAAGTAATTGTTAGTTATACATTATTAACGGTTATAATCAACACATCCTTTGAATAGCTCATCCCCAGTTCTTCAAACTATCGATCAGTCCACAGGCTGTTTGTACACTGACCATGAAAAATCTCTGATACACAACAAAGACTCCATAAAGCACGTTCTGCTCCTCAGGTCAGTATGGGATCCCTCGGCCGTGGTACTTCCCCTTCACTAAATCCTATTGGATTGGAGAAAAGGACGGAAAGTCCAACAAACTCCCACTGAATCGGAAAGGAAACCCCGGAGGTGAGATTACTGTGCTGCGAAGCTCCAGAACTTCCTCCTAAAAACCAACAACTGAGTTCTCTTTATTTTTAAACAGAGTTTTTAATGTGAAAGAGACTTCCTGAACAGTGCAGTAAGATGTGTCTGTATGTCTGCAGCGGTGTGCGTGGAGGAGGAGCCGGCTCATCTGGAGCCTGGAGTCTACATCGAGAACCTGGTGAAAGTTTACCGTCATGGTAAGAAGCTGGCGGTGGATGGACTAACGCTCGGCTTCTACGAGGGACAAATCACCTCCTTCCTGGGACACAACGGAGCCGGAAAAACCACCACCATGTGAGTCCGAGACACACCACACTGCTGATACAGATTCTGCCACAGGGCCTGGTGCAGGTAACATCCTCCTCTCTTTTCCCTGCAGGTCCATACTTACTGGCCTGTTCCCACCTACCTCTGGCACTGCCTACATCCTGGGCAGAGACATCCGGACAGAGCTGAGCGCCATTAGGCAGAGTCTGGGAGTCTGTCCACAGCACAACGTCCTCTTCAGCATGTGAGTGCTTTTCCTCAACATGCTTGTTATGCTGTCTTCGCTCCGTCTTTACCTCGATTGTTACGTGACCTTGCTCATGTTGTGGCACCTCTTGCAGGCTCACGGTGGAGGAGCACATCTGGTTCTACGCACGGCTCAAAGGCTTGCCAGAGGAACGCGTGAAAGGTGAGATCGAGCAGATCCTGCAGGACACAGGGCTGCCGCACAAACGCAACTGCAGGACCAGCACTCTGTCTGGGGGCATGCAGAGGAAGCTGTCCGTGGCCCTGGCCTTCGTCGGGGGGTCAAAGGTTGTAATCCTGGACGAGCCCACAGCCGGCGTGGACCCTTACGCCCGCAGAGGAATCTGGGACTTGCTGCTGAAGTACCGTCAGGGTAAGGTTCTCCCAGATTGGTCAGATTTTAGCTACTCTCTTCGTTTTGACTGGATTTTTAACGTTGGGTCTCATTTCAGGCCGGACCATCATCCTGTCCACTCACCACATGGACGAGGCGGACATCCTCGGCGACCGCATCGCCATCATCAGCCACGGGAAGCTGTGCTGCGTGGGCTCATCTCTGTACCTGAAGAACCAGCTGGGGACCGGCTACTACCTGACGCTGGTGAAGAAGAACCCAGAGCCATCACTCAGCTCCTGCAGGAACTCGGCCAGCACCGTCTCCTTCACCAAGAAGGTCTCTGTAGAATTTATTTACTAGTAATGCTTAGCTCTGCAGTTTTCAGTAGTATATAGGTCTTTCTTTACACTGTATTCCAGTACGATTGATTAATTTTGAGCAGTTTGTCTGTTAGTGAAAAGTATTTTTGCAGTATTTTACCTTTACCGTGTAGTTGTCTCCTTATAGTATTTTTCTTTAGCATTTGGAGTATTAATTAGCATTATTAATTCCTGTGCAGTAGCAATACCTTAAAGTAAAACCATTTGTGTTTTAGGAGGAGGAGGAGTGCGGCTCGGTCAGCAGCAGCGACGCAGGACTCGGCAGCGAACATGAAAGTGAGGCCGCTACCATCGGTGAGCTCTCTGTTCCCACAGAGCGTTTGATTGGTTCGCTGTCCGGTGGATCTGATTTGTTTTGTGTCTCCGTCTTCAGAAAATGGCCCAGCAGCATCCACCTGCAATATCCCCTTTGTACCCCCGGACGTGTCGCTGGTTTCTGCCTTGATCCTGCGTCACGTCCCCGACGCCCGCCTGGTGGAGGACCTGGGACACGAGCTGACCTACGTCCTGCCGTACAGCGCTGCCAAAGACGGAGCCTTCGTGGAGCTCTTCAAAGACCTGGACACGAAGCTTTCCGACCTCGGCATTTCCAGCTACGGAGTGTCGGACACCACCCTGGAGGAGGTGGGACACATTTGAGTAAAACTGATTTGTGAAGCATTCTTCTCGGTGAATCACCGTGAAGCATGAAAACAAAAGTTTGACATTAGTTTTAATGTTTTATGTCACTTTAGATTTTCCTGAAAGTGGCTGAAGACAACGGAGTCGACACCGAAGTGACCTCAGGTGAGGAAGGAGTGATGTCTGACTGTGACATATCAAAATAAGAGCCTGAAATCACATTTCCAAGTTTTTTTGTTTAGACGGGACACTTCCTGTTCAGAGGCGGAGGAGGACTCATGCTTTCGGTGGAGGAGACCCTCAGAGCTGCTTGAGACCGTTAACAGATGATGACAACGATGACTGCAATGATTCTGAAGACCAAGGTACAAAAAAAACACAGCAAAGCAAAATTTATTCACAGAGAGTTACAATGGGATAAAATACCAGGGGCGCAAAATTCAAGGGAAGAAATCAAAAGACTGGAATTTCAAAATAAAGCGCCAACTGTACAGAGTAACGAGTGGAAATATGAGAAGTTTCTCACTTTTGTTGTCTTGTAACATCCTGTCTGCGCACTCTCAACGTTTTCTTATTTGATCATGTGACCTCGTTTCCTCTCAGAGTGCAAAGAAACCGACTGGCTGAACTGTACTGACGGTAAAGGCTCATATCAGGTGACAGGCTGGACTCTGAGGAGGCAGCAGTTTGTTGCTCTGATGTGGAAGCGGTTTCTGTATGCCCGGCGCTCCAGGAAGGGCTTCTTCGCTCAGGTATGCCGTCGCCAGCGATAAAAACCCGCTGCTGCTTTCTGATCAAACCGGCCTGCTGCGGCTCATCGGGGAAAAAAAATCTGTGTTTCAGATCGTCCTTCCGGCCGTGTTTGTCTGCATCGCTCTGGTCTTCAGTCTCATCGTGCCGCCGTTTGGAGTTTATCCCAGTTTGGAGCTGCAGCCGTGGATGTACCAGGAACAAGCGACCTTCATCAGGTACACGACTGCCCTGAACTCTCACTGAGTTATCCAGAGGTATTTCCTGCGATCTGACTGTGGTTGTGTTTTTCGTCCTCTCAGTGATGATGCTCCTGGAAATGCCAACATGCAGAAGCTTTTAGATGCGCTGCTGAACGCTCCGGGATTTGGGACTCGCTGCATGGACGGATACACGAACCCGTAAGAAACTTCGACACCCTGAGCATTACATTCACTTTAAACTAGTCTTCATCAACGTGTGAGCGAATCAGCTTTTACTCACCTGAAACCTCACTACATTTTTTTTTCTACCCTCTGTCTCTTCCTCTCCTCCTCCCTGTAGAGAGGCACCCTGTACGATGGGCGATGAGGACTGGTACACTCCTGAAGTTCCTGAAAGCGTCCTGGAACTCTTTAGCTCCAGAAACTGGACCATGGACGATCCCTCTCCAGCCTGCATGTGCAGCTGCGATGGCAAGAAGAAGATGCTGCCAGACTGCCCGGCTGGAGCCGGAGGTCTGCCCCCACCTGAGGTCAGAGCACGGGGAGTGGTGGGCAGATACGAAAGGAGGACACACGCATTCAACCTCTATGGGATGCTCGTTTTACACCCAGTCAACTTGCTAATTAACCTCATTAGCTGGCAGATGTTCCAACAATAGGTTTTTAGTGTAATCGTTTTTTTAGCTGTAATAACTTTATCAAAGCCACTTTGAGCTCTCTGAAGGGGAATTTCTGTAAGCTTAGAAAAACTTTTAAAAGAATCACCTGAACACACTTAATATTAAATTAGTTTTAACATAGTTTTTAAAAAAAACAACGCTATTTTGTGCATTTGGCCCAACTTTAGTCTTAGATTTACCTGACCTAAGCCTGACCCACCTGTGTGCAGCATCCTGTGAAATTGTGGTTAAATAAAAAGGGACTCTTCCTGTCGTTCAGATGAAGCTGAGTGAAACGGACATCCTACAGAACCTCACTGGGAGAAACATCTCCGACTACCTGGTGAAGACTTACGCTCAGATCATTGGCAAGAGGTAAGACACACTCAGAGGACTCACCTGCTCACACACACACACACACACACACACACACACACACACACACACACACACACACAC